TTTATGACTCTCAAAACATGTCATGAATACCTACTTCGTTTACATTTTTCCAAAACCTTCTCAAAGTCAGCACACTATAATAATAATGAAAACAATCCTATAAAATATTTAGTATCTTGATAGTGAAAATAATAAATTCAGAAACATTATTTTGGCAGGAGAAACACATTTAGATGTAGCTGTCTGGTAGAGCTAGAGATGACACACAGCGGTAATCTACCAACAAAGTGAATACTCCTCTGACTTTTGTTGTGAGCCTATAAAAATACCCTTTTTCTCCAAAAAGGACCATAGGAAAGTCCCATGTGAATAACACCTAAGAAGTAAACTTTGTGGATTGAAAGAAGATACTAAAATCCCTATATTAGGGCCTGCCAAATAGCTCAGCGGATTAAAGTGCCTGTAAGCAGGTTCATTTGTGGGCCTGCCGTGCTGGCCCCGCCCCCAGGGTGCGCTGAGACTGGGCGAGGTGGCATGCGTCTTTAATCCCAGCTCTTGGGAGGCTGTAAACAGGCGGATCGCTACGAGTCCAATCTAGTAGTGAGACCCTGAACACCCTGTAGACCCTTCCCAAAAATCAAAAAATAAAATAAAATAAAATTCCCATAGAAACTACCCTTTTCTGAAATAAAAATTAAACCCCTTACCAATGCCTAGTAAAGCACTCATTCAGTAACTTAGAAGGAAGTAATATTACATGTGTGATTTACTTAGCAATGATTCGGGCTTCTAACTGTCTATCTATCTGTCTGTCTATCTATCTATAATGAGGGGAGAGAAAGATTACTTGTTGGTAGTGATACAATTAATGGCAAAATAGAGTAGCATTCACTAAAGAAGCTTAGGTAAATATCGAAAGTTTGATATTCCAAAGAGAGATGTGCTTGTCTAAAACACCACTATTTTTTATCTGGTGTTCTTTTTTCTTTGCAGTCTAATCCCATTATTTTAAAATTGAACAAATGTGTTTTTCAGACCATTTTGCTTCATGAGATTCTTGCTCAGTAGACTGTGAGCCCAGCTGGTGGAGGTATATTTTCCTCTCAAAATGTAATTCTTCAGACTCATAAATTTCACAGAACATTTATTTTAGTTTGCTTTCAGGAAATAAAAGGTACCGGAAAAGAGGCTCTCTGTAGTACGCATTTGCTTTTATTCTTTTTCTTGCTTTGCCTCCATGTGAGGCCACTCAGGATATATTTGCTGTCTTCCAGAATGATACAGCTCCACTTAGAAATGCACATGCATTCCGGCCCAGTGCACGTCATGTCTCTTGGTCAGACTGATCCCTAGGTAGGAGTTCCCTTATACTGTGTGAAGACTGTCGGTAGAAATGTGACAAAACAGAACCCGCCTCCTGCCTTCAGGTTCATGGGTTTATTAAAGTAATCTGTGCTTCCCTCACTTTCTATAAATATACTCCCTGCCAGTGCATAAAGAAAGAAATTAAAAATAAAATTGATTCATTCTAAGGTCATCCAATTATATAAACTCATATTTAGTAACCTAAAAGTATTTTAAAAGTAATACATAATATGACCATGAATCTCGAACTGCTAAAAGGATTTGATCCAATAACTAAGCCACACTTTTCTCTTAAACAACTTATGTGGGCTCTCTCCCTCTCTATAAACTAGTGAAGCATCCAGAATTTTCTTTTATTTCTTTACAGAAGTAATGCAAATTTATGATTTCATTTAATAAAAATCTCTTTGATGATTTCAGTGCTTTCGGATACTTGGTTTTCAACTTTGATTTTAAGGGCACAGTAAACTGGCAAAGGCAATATAAGCTTCCATAAATATAATAATTCAATCAGCTTATGATAGCAAAGACAAAAGGGAGTATTAAAAAGAACAAAATTGGGAACCTTCCCCTTAGCTCAGTTCTTAAGTGACTGCTTCAACAAAGCAGTCAGGTTCAGGTTGCTGTGGTTCGATCCCCACAACTCAAGCCAGCCAAACCTGCCCTGAACGCATTTGGAGAAAAAAAAAAAATCCTTCTGCCTTTGGGGCTGGGGAGATGGCTCAGTGGAATAAGTGCTTCCCTGGCTGAATTCAATCCCCAGCTCTGAAAAAAACAAAAACAAAAACAAACCTAAACTAACCTAAAGCATTAGAAAATGTAGGTGCCAACCAAATAGCTCATGGGATTAAAGCACCTGCTTAGGCAGACACAGCGACAGGGGTTCAATACCTGGCATGGGGTTCCTGCCATGCCCACGAGGCACACTGAGGCAGTGAATGACACTGGGAGTGGTGGTGTGTGCCTGCAATCCCAGTGCTTGGGAAGATGGAAAGAGGAGGACCGCTGCGAGTCCAACCTGTGTAGTGAAACCTGTGGACCCACTACTAAATGCATAAAAGAAAAAGAAAAATGCAGTGGATCCAGCAAAACAATCCATGAAGAAAAACAAGAAACTGGAAAACAGTACAAATCTCAGTAACTTGTTCAATAGTTTTTAAGAAAAAGTTTAAAGAGAATACAAAATGATACAAAAAAGAATAAAACCTTAGAAACGATACAGAATTTCACTAAAGAATTTAACAGGAATTTGACAGTGGTGGTTGTTGCATAATTTTATCTTCAAATTAGTTGTTTGGATAATCAGGAATAAACATGCAAATTTGGACAAAATGTTATAAGAAGTTAAAAAGGAAAAGAAAAAAATATTAAGCATTAACTGCTCTTTTCAATAGACCAGCAGAAATCAACAGTACAGTTGTTAAAGCTGTTCTACATATATAAATAAATATATCTTTCACCATTCTTTCCTTTGTCCTTTTTCTCATCCCAATCTTTCCTTCCTTTTGAATGGATTCTTTCCCTTTCAATAGCTCTTATTTTGGACTGATGTTTTACTATCTGAAAGAACTGTGGTCTGTTTTTTTGTTACTCCCTATTTGGAACTATTGCCTGCTTTGGTCCGCAATTTCTGGTGATTTTTGCCTGATGGTGACTATTTTGTTTTATGTTGCTATATCACATAGAACAAACCAATTGCAGCCACCACCCAAGAAACAAAAATCTTAAGAAATTGTTAGATGTTGAAGGAGTTCCTGATGATGCCTTCTGGAGTAAATTGAGTGCGTTTGTCTGCCTGCCTGCTGTCCAAGGTGCAGGTGGTATGAAACAAAGGAGAAAACATCCTGTCCTGTAGCTGCTAGAGTAGAATTAGTCTGTCAGGTGGATGCATCAGTATTAATTGTTATGCTTTCATCTTGGAGATTAACGCATGGGCTTTCTCATGCCTCACTAATTGGTAACTCGCATCTGATAGGCAGCATGCCCAATGTCTCACGAAAAGCTCATTTCATGTATATGTAGAAAAGTAGATAAATCTTCATCTTTGTAAAATTTGGATTTAATCACACAGCCTTCATGTGATGGCAAAGTTGGAAACTATTGAAAAGCAAGTATTTCAAGGATCAAATCCTGTTTAGGTTATCAAATGGAATGACAGTCTCAGTGCTCTTGGAAATATTTTGAAAGGCCTCCTCATACACACTTTAATTGCTAATGGACATAAAATACATATGTAATTATATCATCTCTGATCAACAGTACTAAGGAGCCCATGTGACAAACATAATTGAGTTCAAAATATTCAGGGTAACAATTTTCCTCTAAAAATATCTTGACACCTCCCTTTTTTCTGTGAAAGTCCATAACTGGTAACATATTCTACTGTAGCTACATAATCTACTCAATTTTTATTCCTAAATTTTTCTCCTGAACATCAACCTTTTCCAAATTCATCCATTTTGTCTTTTAATAAATTGTAATCCCCAGAAAGAATTTCCTATATTATTCACCAGCAGTATTGTGTAGATCCTTCTGCTATGTGTACCTCTCTTTCACTCCCACATGGACAAGGGCAATATAAGGATATTGGAGTCGGTTTATTGGTTTCTTTTCACTATTGTGTGGCAGAAACCATGTATTAGTCTCTGTCTTATAATATAGAGCACAGATTTTAGTGCAGGGAAAGCATGCAATGCTTGGTTTTCTATTTTCTATTGATTTTATTGAGAAAGAAATAGCAGTGAGACAATTTCAAAACAGGTCAGTAGGACAGTTACAATAATTAATACATTGCATATTGTTGTCTTCATAGCAGTTATCCAGAGTGCAAGAGGCAGACATGATAACTTGTCCTTTTTCTTTTTTACTATGGAATTAAATCTGACTACCACACCCAAAGAACTTTGGTTGTTCTCTAAAACTTGTGAATTTGTATATCTATATGAAGTAGAAGCAGCTTTTAAAATGGTCTTGGCTCTACCACACTTCTTGATTTCAATATCACAACAGAGTAGGTTAGAGAAAAATAACATATGTAGTAAGGAGAATTCCAATTTTCCAGGAAGAATTAAAACTCCTAGAAGAGACTATACACCTCACAAATTAACACGACCTTGAAAAGTGTCCGGGATTCCTGAATGGCAAGAAACTTAAACCACACATATAGTAAAATATGTTGAAAAAATATTTTCAGGAATAAAAATGTTTTAACCTAACAAGATGCCAACTCCAAAATTGTGAGTTATTTATAGCCAAAATTGGACACAATGTCACCATCAATAAATTCATTTTTAGTCAACAAATACTGCTAGAGCTTTAAAGAACAGAGAAATTAAAATACGTTCTGCATGGCAAAGTTTGTTCAGCCTTCCTTATTTTTATATAGGAAATCAATTTGTATCCTGATAATATCATTCACATCAGACAACCCAAAGTTGTTAGGAGTTAATTTAGTTTTATGCTAAAGCAATTTGATACTTGTTCTGATTTGTGATTTTCATTTTGTTTGTTAATGAAAAAAATTAATGAGCAATGTTGCCAGAAATACAACTCATCAAAGCATCAGCATTATTAAAGAGCTTGCCACATACTGTACATTGTGATCATTGTGCAGCTGGGGTCTGGACCACAGTGATGGAGAAGCCATCAATCAAACAGCAGAGGCAAGAGTCCAGGGCACCGATGCCTTCACATACCTTTACACTGATTCGTGTTTTTGTCAAGAATTGCCTTTGTGGATACAATTTTTCCATATCTGCAAAAGAGAAAAAAATTTCTTTTATTGTGACTCAATAAAAACATTTAAAAACGCATATAAAATTGAACACAAATACACCAAGAAAATAAGTTTTTAACTTCCATTTTACACTTGGATGATTTCCTTTCACCAGTCCTGTGTAACTCAGGAATGCACTTCCCTAAGTACCTAGGCGCTGAGGTACACCTTCACAGATAGCATATCAGGCTGTTAGAGGTGCCAAAAGGAGATTGCATGCGAATGAGGAAGGTAGATAGCAAAGTATGGGCTCTTGAGGGGACCTGGGAGCCTGGCACTAGGCTGAAAGAATTTGCATCCTGTTCTGTCTCCACTTACTGTTATGACCTGGAGCAGCTTATCCCAACTACTCCAAGCCACAGTTTTATTTCTTCTGTAAAAATAAAAAGCTATACATGCCAAATCTTTTGGTTCACTCAGCCTTCGCCTCTTTGGAATCAAAGTATTCGGCATGGAGACAATGCAGTGGGCAGTCATTCATAGAAGATACTGCGGCACCAAATCGTTTCATCTTCTATCATGATACAGGTATATTTATTAATAATGACCTTGATTATTCATTTGTAGTGATTTAGGTCTAATGGGCATCTGGTGAGGATAATGCTCTTTCTTTTAGGTTGTTGGAGGACTAACTGGGCTTTAGGTGCTGCACTGAGGATGGTGGTGATACAGCGGAGAGCCCACCAAATGTTGCTCTTTCTCCCAGTTACTCTCCATTGAATCTGTTATGGCATACCATCCCTTGATGTTTTCTAAGGTGCAGATGGAGAAAGCGTAAGCTAAAGCTTCTGTCCCAAATGACACATTAAAACATTACTAGACTGTCAAAACTCCCCAATAAGAAATTTGTCAGCTAAGGCATTTGCTAAAAGGTAAGTTATGCTTACAATGTTAGCAGTCTTACAGTGTTTTTCACTTTACCTGCTCACAAAAATCCCAGCTGTAAGCATTTTCTTTGTTTAGTATTATCAAAATGCCTATTAATTCTTCTGTTTTGTCATATAAGCTCCTTAGCTCCCAGTTTCCACCTTTCTCACCTCACAATAAATATTGGTATGCGACACCTGTATCTCAGCCTGAATGTTTCGGTCTTAGGAAAATTATCATTAAAATAAGAACATGTTTGAACAGTCTGTTCGGTAGAGAAAGATGTATGGATCGCACCCATCAACTGGAGATAACGTTTATTAGGTTCAGGCTATTCAAGCAAATAAGTATTTGTAAAATGTATGCAATAAATGGAATAAAAGGGAAATTTGGCCAAAACTACTTTCCACAAAAGGTAGCATTAAAGCATTCTGTGACAGGTACAGATCAGAGAAATAGAAATAAGTTACAATACTTAAACCTAACACACAACAAGGATAGCAGCCTTTAAGGTAAAAATCCTTTTTCATTGGTTTTTAAATCTACTTTTTAAATTTTTTATAGAAGTTGCTTCAAAATTAAAATTTAGCTCTATCTTTTCATAGATTAAATTAAGCATTATTATGTATTATAGCCAATTTCATTTGACAGTGCGGCTCTGGGTCAATGGTGTGTGTATTGTTCACGCTTACAAATATTACAAAGATGTCCTATACTTAATTAAATGCAATATATGTAAAACTAGTGTCATTATTTTACAGCAAAAGAAATATCAAATCATTACTTACGGGAAGCACTACTAAGCGCTTTTGCTGGCAAGTTTTTTCTAAAAGAATAAATAAATAAAAAGAACGTTATTGCCCAGAGAATCTGATACGATTACCAGAAATGGAAGACCTTTCACATACAGACAGATGCCAGGAGAGCAAACTGTGCTGCTTCCTGACGTCCCTGTTTCTAATTACACTCTCCAGAGACTTTCTGATAGTACAGAAATGCAGAAGAGCAGAACGCAGCCTCCCAGTACTACATGCAGCATCGTTTTGACTGGAGTTACAGGAATTCCAAGCCTTGCTCAGTTACATTTTTACACAAACCATTGCTTGTAGAGCTAAAATATGCTCTGAACAAGAGAAGGCACTTAATGGGCCGCTGGTTACAACTCATGTTGGGACACTCAGCATGACCAACACGTACTTTCTGCATGACTGGCACTGTATTCTCCGTGGTCTACAGTCAATAGTTCAGGGAGGTAAATAAAGTTTATGCTGTCTTTAATAGGCCCAGGCCACTATAAACACAAAAACACCAATATAATATACCTGAGAAGAATTATAAGAAATTATTCTTTCTGATATTTTGTCAAAGAATACTCATTTACCTAGAGTAAAAACTGCTAGACAAACTAAATGTGCAATTTTCACACATTGCAAAGGGGTAAAAATGGTTTCTTTTCTTTCTTTCTCTCTCTCTTTCTTTCTTTCTTTCTTTCTTTCTTTCTTTCTTTCTTTTTTTCTTTCTTTCTTCTTTTTTTTGGAACCAGGGTTTGAACTCAAGCCCTTGCACTTGCCAAGCAAGCACTTATTCTACTGAGCCATCTCCCTGGCCCCTAAAAATGATTTCTGAGGCAAAAAGTAATCCTAGACACGTATTATTTCACTAACTTACTCTTTCCCTTCTTGGGAGCTAGATCAAGACTTCAGTATTTAAAAACATTTCTTCCTCCATGCCACCCACGAATGGAAATCAAAGTCAGACATTAGAAGAAAAATGTGACCACATTACGGAGTGATGCCTGGGAGTAGACACAGGGCACTGGTCCCATTGGTGTCCTGGCTCAGGAAGATTTCAGACAAACCCAGTTCTCTTCTCCTCCTTTCATTTCCTACAGTAAGAAGAGACAAAACACTACCCACAATCAACTTCCTTAGGGGTTTGAAATTCTTAGGAGAAAATGAATGTGGTGTAGAGTTCTGTGCCACAATTCTTTCCACATAGGCCTTCTCTAGCTGATACAAGAAGACCCTCAGAAAGCACTAGTAAGACTCTTCCACATGAAAAAGCATGCAATTTCATACCTGCATACTCACCAAGTAGGAGGAGTGCTTACTGAGGTGCCTAAGTACCACCAGTTCACATTTCTATATTCCAAGAACACTTTTTTTAAAAGACTAAGCAATCTACAATAAATACATTCTTATATGATGTTTGGAGATTCTATAACCGAATTGTATAAATTTGTATGTTGTCTACCCTATCTTTATAATAGATAAGGTTATTATTTTGGTTGCTATGATAGGTTTTATATTGACTTTATAAAGAAGTAACCAGCCCCTTCCTAGCATTTATCTTAGTTTTATATGGCATCGGAGTCAAACTATATTTGTTGATAGACCCGATTATTTCACATACAAGCCTAATTTAAACTAATGGTGTCTTTATTTTCCAAAGTTGAAGAGAAAATAAGAGCTATTATGGATCTACTCTTCATGAATTATGAAGACATCAAATTGGCAAAACATTTCTATAAAGAATTTATTTTTAAACCCTTTGCTGAATCACTCACTGTGTATATTAATTCAAAAAACACAGGCACAGACTGAAAATAGAGTCTCCACAGTCAATTAACTCTGGGAGAACTCATTTTTCACATGCTTTCTATATTGATACCAGACTAGAAAAAGGTATCACATTTATTTAATGGATGAAATGTTATCCTTTAAGCAAATGAGGTTGTTTGCTTCCCTCTTGATGACTCCTTCATTCTTTGGCATTTGGGGATGTTGATGGAACCTAGCACTGGCTATAGGAACCCAGCTGAGACGTGGTAAGGCTGTGCCAGACTACTGCAAAAACGTCTCATCTACAAGTTCACAGCCATCAATGTTCTGAAAGATTAACTATTTCAATGCACAAACAAGTGGTCAAGACAATGAATTATTATATGGGCTCAAGTATGCTTTTCTCCCCAACATAATATATTAAAATCTTCATCGTTGGTACCTCAGAATTCAAATAGCAAAGCCTTTGATAAATAAGATAAAATGAAGTTATATTAGTCACCTAATTCTATGTGACTGCCATCCTTATATGAAGAGACAGGCATGAAGGGAAAACCTGAGAAGACACATGGAACATACAGACACCTACAAGCCACAGAAAGGGGTCTCAGAAGGATCAACCCCTCTGCTGCCTCAGGATCTCACTCTTCTAGCTTCCACAAGCTTGAGAAAATAAATATTTGTTAAGCCACTGATATAGTGGTATTTAGTTGTATCAGTCCTAACAAGAAGTTTCAATGACCTCTTGCCCAGGTATGGTGGCTTTGTGAAAGGGAAGAGAAGGGAATGGATCAGCGAAAAATATTCCTCCTTTAAATAGTTTGCCCAGCAATCTTGCATTTGGTCCTTCTAAGCCATAACCTAGAACACCCATCTCTCTTCCAGCCTTTTCCAGAGTCCTGGAAGCTTCACAGCCCCCCACCCCATGCTGCCAGAGTGGAGAGCTGTTAATCCACTACTGGTCCAGGCCCTAGAGCCCGTGCATTCTTCCATTCACCCCTCTTGCACCCCAGATCATCAAACTCTTACATCATGGCTCCACACCAAATAAATTTTGCAAGTTTCTTTGAGAAGTCAAATTGGCTGTTTACATAATACCTTGGGGCAAATACCCTATGAAGAACACAAAATGAGCATCTAGAAGGGAGAGTTGGAGAACAGTTCTTAGAAAAGGAAGAGCTTGGCAAGGGGCAATATTTTAACAATCAGAAATGTTTCACTAGGTGTGGTGGTGCATGCCTGTAATTCCAGAATACTTGGAGGTTTAAGCAGGGGATTACAAGTTCAGATTCAACTTTAGCAATTTAGAGATGAAGTGATAACCTGCCTCTAATTAAAAAAAGAACACAACAGAGATATGGTTTATGCAAAGCTTTTGCTCAATCCTCAGCGCAACAAAATTAATTAATTGATTAATTAACATGTTTTATAGAAAAGTTTCTTTTTCAAGGCAGCTTATTACTATTTAGAAAATTGTTTTCAAGCTGCAAATACATTCACCAACAGCTGAGCATGACATACAGGGCTGTATGTCATACTTGACCTATGCTG